GCTCGCACGGGTGTGCGCGGCGCGCGGCCCTGCCGGTGACGTGCAGGGACTGACGGAAGAACCGGTCGAGCCTGGCGCTAAGTACGAGCCCATGGCACTTGTTGCTGGACACCAGGGGGGTCCTGTTCCAGTGAGTGAGTCAGTCGGGGGCGTCGGTGATGCCAGGGCGGAGGGAGGACCGCATGGCCGAAGAGTTGAACTCGAGGGATTTGGCCCTACTCCTCCCACCGCCCGCTTTTCCAGAGAGCAGATGGGTGGGGGCGACGTGTTCCCTCTGTCCTGGGGCTTGAGTACATGAGAGTTGAGCGGGTTTAATTGAAGAGGAGATTAAACTGGTGCCGGCCTCCGTGTAAGAGACTGAAGGAAGCCCCCACGAGTCAGTTGGGAGCCGGTTCACAGGACGCTCCCCTTCAGGGGAAGAGCAGTGGCGTGGGGTGGGGGGTGCTGCACTACCTTAGGACGTGCCAACGCTGTGGGTGTTACAGCAGCGAGGGAGGGAGGGAGGTGGGCGGGGACAGCAGCTGAGCCGCTGGAGTGTGGACACGTGCGACCGCGGCAGAAGGGGGTTTGTTCTGTAATTGCTCCACCCCCGTGAGGGGCAGCTAGGCCGGCACCAGGGTCCAGGTTGGTTTCTCTATATCTCGGGGGTGGAATTTTTCACACCTCTGAGCATTGTTGTCAGGTCGACCTAAGTTTTAGGCCCAGCCAAGGCCTAAGGGTTGTCTACGTGGGCATTAGTCAGGAATTGCCGATCTGCTTTCCCTTCCTAGCCAGCCGTAACCTGGACTCGTGTCATCAGTAGACAAGCCCTGACTCATGTTCGATCGGCACCGGTAGCCGTAGGCGGCGAGTTCTATGGGCTCATGGTGCCCATGCTCCAGGAATATTCATAGCCGGGGGTCCTGCTCCACCAATATTTGGAGCTGGGTCTCTCCCTCGACCCTGCCTGGAGCGGGCCCCGGCCCCCACCTGCCGCCCCCTCTTCCCCCCGCGCGTCCTACCCCCTGGCCCCAGAGTGTGCCCCCCAGCCCCGGAGTGTGCCTGCCGAAATGAAAGCTGCACATGCGCAGGTGCTGAAATGCCGCACAACAGCTGAGAGGGGAGATGCCCAGGCGTGGGGTGACGTCCTGGCCCGGGACTTTAAAACCACACGGCCCAGAGTTGCACCGCACAACCCAGCTCCAGGCCCGGCAAGTGATCTGGAGCCCTACAAGCAGCTGGGGCCCAATCACAGCCTCCAGCACTGCAAACTGGAAGGAAGAAGGTGAGGTGGGGAGTGGAGGGGGAAGAATAGGGGGAAGGGGAAGAGGAAGGGGCTTGTGCTGAGGGGAGGGGGGCAGGTCAGAAGAAGAAAGGGGAAGGCACCAAGGGACAGAGTGGAGGAGAGAGACAAATGCCAGGGGGCCAAGTGGAGACAATGAGGAAAAGGGCAGGAGGGGAGGTGTCAGTGGGAGTGGGGACAGGGTGATGCTGGGAGAGGAGAGGGGAGGGGAGGGGAAGGGCATTGGGGGCTGGAGGGGGAGGTGCTGGGAGAAGACTTGAAAGAAGGGGTGGGCATGAGGAAGGTGGGGATGGAGCAAGGCATGTGTGAGGGCACAGAGGCATGAGGGAAATGGGGGTAGAGGGCTGTGAGGGGGTGGGCATCAGGGAAAAAGAGGGCAACGGGAACAGGGCA